AAGTTAAGTTTCTACATAATTGTAGCGTACCATAGAAAATGAAGTCAAAAGCAAGATTTCAAAAATGTGTCCAAATCCACCGAATACCAGGAGATGAATCTATCAAGATATGTATGAGCCTTTTATAGACAAAACTGCAAAGCACTGATCAGAGATACGAAAGACTCAAGCAAGTGGAATTCACCAACTGGCATGCTCATTGTGGGTAAGACCCTCATTGTTGAATAACTCAGGATGCAAGCAGGTGCTGAAACTGACAAGAGGATTCTAAAACAGAAAAGGGCACCGAGGAGCCAAGCAGTTTGGAACAAAAGTAGCCTTTCCAATAAAATAAATAAATAAATAAATAAATTTTTTAAGAAAAAAAGGTAGCATGTTGGATGACTCACAGCATCTGAATTCAAGTCTTGCTAGAAAGCTACAATCCTTTAAAAGGTGTGGCATTGGGGAAAGCAGTGAGAATTTTAAAAACGAAGCACAATAGCCCAGGAATAGACTCACCCACAGACGCACAGCTATTTTTTTAACAAAGCCACTGAAGCAAATTCAGTGGGCAAATGGACATGTCTTCAGTAACCAGTGCTGGAACAAGCAGACACCCAGGCCAGACAGCCCCAAGCTCCTTCCTTAACAGCTGCGAATGCGGAGGGCAGCCTGATCGGGATTTGGGGAGCAAGGGCTGACTGGAGCCCAAACTCCACGCAGGAGTGAAGGCCCAGACGCCCAGCATCTCAAATCCCCCCAGGGCCGTGCATGGAAGGGGGGTCACCCATGGATGTCCCTGAGGAGAGTCCAGTCCAGAGAAATGCTGGCTCCACTCTCCAAGGACCCACCGCCTGCGGGAAGAAAGGGAGGACCTCGCAAAGAGCGAGGTGGAGGGACAGAGGGCCGCAGGGAGTGGGGTGGAGAAAGAAGTTCCTTTGGGAACCGGTGAGAGAAGAGGGTCACCTACGACAGGAACAGGGGGAGCAGGCGTGCTCGCGGTCATGGCACGCTCTGGTCAGCAGAGGGCAGGGCAGCCGCGGAGGCCTGGCCTTGGCTGAACTGAGTTCTACCAGCTCAGGGCTGCGGAGGACACGTGGCGCGGCTGTCCATGGAGGGCAGGTATGCAATACAAAGAGCGCTGGGATCCGGGTGCACCGAGAACCCTAGGGGGAATCCCAGGCATTCCGGCTCCCGCAGCTTTCTTCCCATGACAGCTGAAGTTAAGTTACACCAGCTGTGTTCAGACTTGTCTGTACCTGGAGACGAGCGGGGGGTGCTTCTCTGCTGCCCCGTGGGGTCCTTGTGGATCTGATGTGGATGGTCTGGGTGTGGCCCGTGCTGTGACAGTTAAAAAAGCATTCCCCTGAGGCTGGCACTTTGGCTTACTGACTAAAGCCTCTGCTTGCAATGTAGGCACCCCTTGTGAACACAGGTTTCTCATATGGAGGCAGGGGCCTGTCCTGGCTGCTCCATGTCCGATTCAGCTCCCAACTCATGTGCCCGGGAAAGCAGCAGAGATGGCCCAAGTCCTTGGGCCTCTGTCACCTGTTTGGGATGAAGTCCCTGGCTCCTGGTTTTGGACTTGCCAGGGGAGTGAACCAGCAGATGGAAGGTCTCTCTCTGTCATCCCCCCTCTGCATAATATTCTCCAGGTAGTTGTCCCGTGCAGGGAATGTGGGAATTCCAGAGCTGGGTGCTGCAGGACTCAGGCTGTGCAAATTCAGAGTTGCCAACCTGGTTTTACAGTCGCCAACCCCCCCCCCCCACACACACACACTGCCGCCCCCACCAGACCCCCTCTTTTTGGCCTTGCTTCTATGAATGTCAAGTTCCAATTCCTTTCTTTCTGAACTCCCTTGCTTCCCATAACCTTTCAAAATGGAAAATGCAGGTTCCTCTCACTCCCTGAACTGGAACTGTTTAAATCTTCCTTCCTCTGACCTGCACAAACCAGCTGGCCAGGACCAACACCTCTTATGGGAGTGCAGCCCCGAACAACATATTCATAGGGTTTTTGTAGGGGCAGTCCACAATATCCTGCAAAGGGATAATTCACAATAGTCTGCAAGGTGAGGGGAAATACCACACATTCCCTGCCTATCTCGGCTGGACAGCCCATGCCTCCAGCAACTAACAGAAGCACCCACTTAATTACTTGGAACCACCTGTGAGATAACCAGACTTAGGTGGGCCTTGATTCATAAGAATTGGGGCCCATCAGTGCTAAAGGTCACATAGGCCATTTAGCCTGCAAGCTCACAGTTTCTTAGTAGCAATGAGCCATGAACAAATGGTTGGGATTTTGATACTGAGGTTCCTCAGTATGACAGGTTGTGAAACGATGTGTTTTCCATAATTTGATTAATTTGGAAATTCAACACTCATCTATTATTTTTTTTTAAAGATTCAACCCCCACCTCCCCACCCCATTAGATTTGTAGTTAATGTGATTTTTTTTTTAAGGCTTTCACCACCTGATGCCTATGCCTGTCTCTGCTTGATTAGAGGAGAAGGGGTCGGAGCTGGAGGAGAGGGCTCCTGGGCTCCAGGGCTGCAGCTTCCCTGGGACCTGCAGGGCAGGAGGCACGGCAAGAGGGTTTTTTTTTTTTTTCCTCTTAGAGGTCACAGCTTCAGGATGACTTGCTGTTTAGGTGGCTACACTTCTCTTACCTGTCTGTGAAAGTTTTAATCAGGTGAGTAACTGGTGGAATTAAGTGGTTCCCTGTGGGTATTTTACTTATTTATTACTGGAAAGGCAGATTTACAGGGAGAAGGAGAGACTGGTTCACTCCCTAAATGGTCTCAATGATCAAAGCTGAGCCAGTCTGAAGCCAAGGGCCAGGAGCTTCTTCAGGGTCTCCCACATGGGTGCAAGGGCCCAAGGACATGAGGCATCTTCTGCTGAATGAAAAGGGGGAGAGCTCGGGACATAAACTGGTGCCCACATGGGGTGCTGGCACCACAGGGTGGAGGCTAATCTTGTTGAGCCACAGTGCCAGGCTTTTCTTGTGTTTTTTGACCTACCTGCATTATTGTTGGTTCATTCTCCAGATGACTCCACTGTCCAGGGCTCAGTCAAGCTGAAACTAGGAGCCTGAGACTCCCATCTGGGTCGCCCACATGGTTGGGCAGAGGGCCAAGCACCTGGACCATCCAATACAGGATGTCAGTGTCACAGATGGCTTGACCTACTATGCCACAATGGCAGTCCCCATTCACCCCACTTTTGTCATTATTTTTAAGGTTGGCTTCTGGGTCCAGGAACTGCAGCACTGGAACTTTGTATGGTGGCAGGCAGTGGCCCGAGGCAGAGTGTGTGCAACTTCTAGGACTTGGATGGGGATGGGATGAGGGGGTATTGGGATGCGGAGAGCACTTAGTTCATCTCAGGGTACTGTTTGACATTCCCTCCTGTGCCTGGTGGTGGGGACCAAATGCTCAGGGCATTTGTGGGTGACATGAAGAGTCTCAGACTGTGGGGACTGAGACTCTCAAGGTCCATGGGGGTGGGGGACGAGGAATGCAGCACCCAAGGAACACAGGCTCCTGAGGAGGCCATGGCTGTCCATGCAGGGTCACCCCCAGGGCTGGCATCTGACTAGCACCTGCTGTAATGACCGCAGATACTCCCATGTGAATGGTGGTACTTTGCATTCCTCTCTGCTAGACCCTCTTAGGAGAATCACAGCTGCTCTGGGACTCTTTGGCTTGGCACCTCCATGGGGACGTGGGCTCAGAAGTGTCACACCTCACTCTAAAGCTCGGTGGGGTTTGTCTGTGTGCCCCAGTCAGGCCCATAGCCTTGCTGAGGATGCTCCTTCTGCTGCGGGGGGACCCCTCTGAAACACATTACCCATGCAGCAACAATATAGGGTGGATAGTCTGGCAGCATGCTACAAGGGGCACCACAAAGTGGTGCAACTGATGGATGGTGCAATTGCCAATGGTTGCCACACTGGGTAGGATGTTGACAAGCATTGCCAGTTCAATGAAATCTTGAACAGATTGTTGGAAACTCCATGTATCCTGCTGACTATGCCAATGATTGGAATTCAAAATCCTTTTCTTTCCTTTTTTTTTGATGTGTTTGTTTTTATTGAAAGACAGATTTACAGAGAGAAGGAGAGACAGAGAAAGATCTTCCATCCACTGATTTACTCCCCAAATGGCCACAAAGGCTGGAGCTGAGCTGATCTGAAACCAGGATCCAGGAGCTTCCTCTGGGTCTCCCATATGGTTGCAGGTGCCCCTGCAGGGTCTTTGTGCCATCCTCTACTGCCTTTCCAGGCCTCAAGCAAGGAGCTGGATGGGAAGTGGAGCAGCTGCTACATGAATCAGTGCCCAAATGGGGTGCTGGCACTTGAACATGAAGAATTAGCCAATTGAGCCATCACTCTGGCCCTGGAATTCAAGATCTTTAAGAAGGAAAGCACACACCCTGCGTCATACTGAGGCACAGATAGACTGAGTTTTTTTACTACTTATAGGTCCCGGGGGACTATAACCTGCCTGGAGCTATGCAGGGAATCAGGGAGGAGGGAGACCTACATCACACCAGGGTGGTCTCTGAAAAAGTTTCCCATGGGGGGCACCAATGCTTGCAACTCCAGCAATGAGGAGTTTCCTGGAGATCCTATGGTAACCTAGCTGTAGTCCAGTGGGCAGTGGAGGCAGCAGGACATGCCGCGTTGGGGTCCTCAGGTAGGGGAGGTTGAGTCGGGTAGGTGTCAGGAGCCACTGCGCAAAGGAGGGAGTGCAAAGACGTGCTGAAAACCAGAGGTTTTCCAGGGTGATGATGGTCCCACCTGGTAGTAACCTGTCGCCATGGGGATTCTGTCTCGGGTTCTGAGAAGTCGGAAAGCTCATCATCATGGTTCCTGGAGAAGAGGAACCTGGGGTTCATTCACACGTAAGCAACCGAGATGTCTAGGATCAGGGTGGGGAGTGGGGTACAGCACAAGGAGCCCAGTGCCTCCCAGGAAAGGCCTCACATCCTGTTGCTCAACTTCCTCGTGCGTTGAGGTCAGGGTGACACCCTGCAGCTCATCCAAGAGCTCTGGATGGCCACAGGAGCGGATGCATTCAAGGATGAGGATGGCCAGGGTCCAGGGGCTGCTATGGATGTTCTTCATCTCAGGTAAGGCTAGGAAGGGGTATGAGCAAGTGAGGCTTCTGGGGCAAGAGCTTGGGGACTCCCTTTTGTAAAGGATTTTTTTTAAACTTTAAAATGTATTACTTAAAAGCAGACAGAGACCAGAGAAAGCTCCTCTCTCTAGTTCCGAAGGAAGTTTACTGTTCTTCTGTTTCTGTGGACCGCTCAGTGCTCTTGGTTGTCGTTCCGATGACCTTGGATCAACCTCTCAAAACAAACAAACGAACGATCTAGAATTGACAGAGAACAGCAAGGAAAGCTTAGAAAGAGACTGGCAATGGTCAACAGGGATGCACTTATAACTCACTAGGTAAGACACAATCATTAGTTTCTCCTCCCTAAGGTATTGAAGATTTCTCTGCACACCCCTCCTAAAATGGGTCACCTAAACTGTTGACATATGTCTTGTTAAACTACCCGTAAAACAGCCAGGTTCAGCAAAATCATGCTTCAATGCTATAAACTGCTAAATACAAAAATTAAAATAGACATGAGACAGCTGAATAGTAGTAATCTATAGCCATTTTAAAGTGTATAGAAACCATTTATACATAAAGGAATAAATGAAATAACAATGTCAATGTAGAAGTTACAGGATGTGGTTCAGAACTTGCATTCTTGTTTTTTTCTCTCTCTTTTAACATATTGGTTACTCAATACCATGTCAACTAATTCCATACATTTCTAAAATGTTACTGATGTTATGTTGGGTCTTTGAATTGCCCGGGATGATATTCTGCCGGCTCTACCTTCAGACCAGAGATGGTCTCCTGAAAAAACGAATGCACTTATTTGCACAATAAGACGCAGCACTTTACACTTGGTAGATGCTTGCAATGGAAGAATCTCAACTGAATTTGAATTGTGGTAATGCAACAAGGTGGAGGAATCCACCGGCGGGGGCCGGTTGGGGAGAGGTGTGGGGAATCCCAGTACCTATAAAATTGTGTCACATAATGCAATGTAATTTGAAAAAAAACAAAACAAAACAGAGAACCATCTGCTGGTTCATTCCCCAGCCCTAGCCCACTATGGCTCGGGCTGGGCTGAGGCGATAGCCAAGAGCTGGGAATTTAATATCCGGGTGGCAGGGACCCAATTATTTGAGGTCTCACCACCTGCACCCTCCATCAGCAGGAAGCTAGAGCCAGGAGTTGGAGCCAGGCCCTGTAGTAGGAGACCCAGGCTTCTTAATTGACATCTTAACCGCAAGCCGAAATGACTCCCAACAGATTTTTTTCCTTTATTTTCCATCACGGGCTTTTGATGCTGACAGTCTGTGATCATGTAGGATATAGGTTATTGGCTAAATGTTATGCCCCAGGGGCATCCTAGAAGCTGGCAGATGTGCAATGGCTGAGGACACTTCTGGCACCCAGTTCGGTGGAGGTCATGGCTTTGGGCCTCTGTTGTGTGCAGGGGGCTTGGAGGCCACTGTGACTGAGGCCTGGAGGAGACTACGTCCCAGCTGTCCTTGTGAAAAACATATGATGTGACAGCTCACACCTGCACTACGGATACCAGCCTATGCGGGTTGGCAAGAGAGAGGAAGACCTGGGTGAAATGGAAAGCAAGACTAGTCTTGGGAAGGAGCAAGAAACAGCAGGCGGACTGTTCTGCTTGGCTTCTCTGTGTGGATAGGGCCATGAACCACACCTCACAGACACTGCTTGCAAGCCCTGCTTGGAGCTGGGGACAACAGACAGGTGGGCAGATGAGACTCAGGTCCTTGGGGACCAGCACGACCCTCAGTGCTCCCTGTAGAGTCATTATTTTCTAACGTATCGTGAGGGATTCCTACGTTGCAATGGAGCATAGGCAATGCTTCAGCATCAATGTCTGTCTCTTTTGGCTTGAGACAGGCAAGTTTGTGTGCAGACTCTCTTGCCTGTGGCTTCAGCCTTCTCCTGGGGAGCTGGCAAACCGTGGGGCTTTGTCTGGGATGTGAGTTTCAAGAGGGTGGCAGCTGAGGGTGGAGCCCGTCCCAGAACCCAGCATGGGGCCAACACAGACAGACAGCTTTCCAGCACTGTCTGATGAAATGCGGAAGCCACTTGGCTTAAGCAAATCTGGTGTTTACTCACTTCTTTCCTGGAGAGGTATTCCTAATTAGAGTCTGAGGGAATCCCCAGGACACCTGCTAGTAAGGCTTTCTTAGAAAAATCTGGGAGCCCATGCTGTGGCACAGTGAGTTAAGCTCCCACTGGTGACATCAGCAGGCACAAATTTTAACTGCTCTGTTTCTGATCCAGCAGCCTGCTCATGTGCCTGGGTGAGCCACAGAAATGGCCCAAGTGTTTGAGCCTCTAGCAACCATGTGGGAAACCCAGATGCAGTTCCTGGCTTCTGACTTTAGCCTCAAACAGCCATTTGGGGAATGAACCAATGGATGGAAGATCTGGTTCTCCCTTTCTTTAACCCTCTGCCTTTTGAATAATAATAATAATAAATCTTAAGGAAAAGAAAGAGCAATTGAGGTCTGGCCCCAGACGTGGTGGCCTTCAAGTCTTCAAAACCTGCAAGAGTCCTGGAATTGGATCTTTAGGATGAGGTGGACTGGGGGTACTGGAGCTGAGGGCCCATCCTGGTGGGCAGGAATAGGGCTGTGCATGAGGCAGCTTGGGCATTTTCAGTGAGCATACTAGAAGCTACCATCCAAAGGTTAAAACAAGTGCCTCTGCAGCAGTGTCAGTAACAGTGACAGGATTGGTAGTAGCTGGAATAATGGCATTAACAATGTCAGTAATATTAGAAATAGCAAGAATATTTGGCCTGGCATGGTGGCCTAGTGGCTGAAGTCCTCGCCTTGAACGTGCTGGGATCCCATATGGACACTGTTTCTAATCCCAGCAGCCTTGCTTCCCATCCAGCTCTCTGCTTGTGGCATGGGAAAGCAGTTGAGGACAGCCCAAAGCCTTGGGACCCTGCACCCATGTGGGAGTCCTGGAGGAGGTTCCTGGCTCCTGGCTTTGGATCGATGCAGCACCAGCCGTTGCGGTCACTTAAGGAGTAAATCATCAGATGAAAGATCTTCCTTTCTGTCTCTCCTCCTTTCTGTATATCTGACTTTGCAATAAAAATAAACTAAAAAAAGAAATAGCAAGAGTATTAATGACAGCAGTGATGTTAGTAACAGCTGCAGTATTAGTAACAGTAGCATTAACCATCGCAGTAGTATTAACAACAGTGGTTGTATTTTTTTTTAAAGATGCATTTATTTTTATTGGAAAGGCAGATTTACAGAAAGAGGAAAGATAGAGAAAAAGATTCACCGATTCATTCCCCAAGTGGCCACAAAGGCCAGAGCTGAGCCGATTCAAAGCCAGGAGCCAGGAGCTTCTTTTGGGTCACCCACATGGGTGCAAGGTCCCAAAGCTTTGGACCAGCCTCTGCTGCTTTCCCAGGCTACAAGCAGGGAGCTGGATCAGAAGTGGAGCAGCTGGGATACAAACCAGCTCCCATATGGGATCCTGGTGCTTGCAAGGGGAGGATTAGCTAACTGAGCCATCGTACAGGTCCAGTAGAAGTGGTACTAATGATAGCAGTTGTGGTCATGGATGGTGGTGACCTGCAGGGGTCCAGTCTGTCCCAGGGTTACTGGTGTTGGTGTTCCATGGAGGAAGGCATCCAGGCCTGAGTAAATAACCTGGATTTCAAATCACAGAGCCCTGTGTATCCAGCTGAAGGTCCCTTACCTGACTCTTCTCATTTCCACGCTGCATGGCCTCCCCTAGTTCTAGGCAAGAGGATCTTCCTCAGCCCCACAAGGTCAGACTGGGTGTGATGGAAACTGCTGTCCAGTGGGTCTGCTGCCACTGAGAATGGGTCGGCTGGGGCATGATTCTCCTAGAAGAGTGTTCTACTACCCAAGCAAGAGAGGCATCAGTGCCAGGTCAGCCAACATCTCTCTTGCCCTCAAGGTGCCTTCCTTACCAGCTGTCCTGTGAGCTGGTGAGCTGGCTTCTCTGCCTGACTTAGAGGCAACCTGTCTGCCAAGAGCCAATCTTTCCAGCCATTCGTGCCCTGTTTGTGCCTCCCTGCAATATTCTCTGTTCCTGGCCACTCAAGGTCTTCCTAGCACAATGTCCCCTGTTCTGTCTCCAGTCAGGTCATCTTCTTCCCTTTCTTCTTCTTCTTCCTGCTCCTCCTTCTCGTCTTCCTCATCTTCCTCCTTGTCTCCACCTCGTCTCTTCCTCCTCCTCTTTCTTCTTTTTCTTCTTCTTTTAACATCTAGGAATGACAAGTTCTTAAAATTAAAATATATATATATATATATATATATATATTTGAAAGGCAGATTTCACAGGAGAGGTAGAGAGAGGGGAAAAAACCCCAAAAACCAAAAATCTTCTACCTGCTGATTCATTCCCTACATGGTCCCAACAGCTGAAGCTGAGCTGATCTGAAGTCAGGAGCCAGGAGCATCCTCTGGGTCTCTCATGTGGATCCAGGGGCCAAAGGTCTCAGGCCATCCTTCTCTGCTTTCCCAGGCCACAGGAAGGGAGCTGGATGGAAGTAGAGCAACTGGGACATGAACTGACGACTGTAAGGGATGCCATTGCTGTAGGCAGAGAATTAAATTAGTTGGTTGTGCCACCATGCCTATACCTAAAATCTGCCCAAGTGGCAGACTAGGGCCACTGGAGGACAAGTTGGGTCCATGTTTCATGTCCCTAGTTAGAGTCACTTCTTCAGAAGCCTGCTGTCTTCTGTGGGGTGCTTTAGGTGGCCCTCCCATGAACATTCACGGTTTGGTTCTTCTAGTGAGAAAACAGAACAAGCCTGCTTTGCCATGGAAAGATATGAGGCCCAGTGCCAGCTTGCAGGGGACATGTTGTCTTCAAGGGCCTCATCTGGAAAAAGCATTTATGAGGACCAGTGGCTCCCCTAGCCTTTTTTTTTCCCCCAAAGAAGAAGTTTTTATCACAGAATTTAACCCTCTTTTTTCCTCACAGGGCTGCAAGCTGTAACACAAAACTACGAGGAAGTGTATGACCTGGAAGTAGGGCAGAACCTCACGGTGAGCTGTCCCTTCAACATCCAGAAGTATGCTGACAGCCGGAAGGCTTGGCAGAAGCTGGAGACTGGTCAGGAGCCCTTGACCTTGCTGGTCACAGAGGTGTCTATGGGGAAGCCCAGGAAAGTTCAGATGGGGAGGTGCGAACTGGAAGATGTCCCCCATGAAGCCATGCTGCATGTCCACTTGGTCCATGTTCAGGTGGAAGACTCGGGCCTGTATCGCTGCATCATCTACCAGCCCCCTAGGGAGCCCGTTGTTCTGTTCCATCCTGTGCGCCTGCGCGTGGGCCACGGTGAGTGACCTAGGTGGGGGTAGGGGGAGGCAGCCAGATGAAATTGCAGGTTGTGGTGGGAAGAGCAGTTGAGCTGTGAGCCATGTCCCTGGGCTCCAGCCAGGTAGCCTGGCTCCTTCCAGAAGCTCCGTATTGGAGGATGCAAGAGGTGTTTGCTCTGTCAGTGAGCTAGGGCTTTTGTGCTTGGGGTTCCTCTGCCCTCTACTAGGGAACCTAGGCTGCTTGGAGTGTGGTTACTGGAATCAAGGCTTTTAGGAAAAGGCAAGTGGCAGACTAGGGCCACTGGAGGACAAGTTGGGTCCATGCTTCACGTCTCTAGTTAGAGTCACTTCTTCAGAAGCCTGCTGTCTTCTGTGGGGTGTGTTAGGTGGCCCTCCCATGAACATCTAAAAGCACAGTGGCTTCTCCCACCTCGCTGTGGCCAGCTGCAGACCACCACAGGATCCTATTGCAAGGCGGAGCCTGGTTCAGGAGGTCAAAACCAGGACTCTAGAATCTGACTTTCAAATCAGTTCCAAAGTGATGTTGATGCCGCAGGTGCATGGCTCTCATTTTGGGAGCATAAGCCTCCAAAACTCATTTTGTGCCCCATCTTGCGAGCAAGATGATTGCACTGGATCCCATAGGCTGATTTACTTACCCGTGTAGCGCCTGTGCCCTGCTGGGCTGTGTATCTCCAGTTCCTGTTCTAATGTCCGGTACATGTTAGATTCTTAATAGATGTTGAATTAAGACCTGATGAATTAAGAAAGGCACAGGAAAGGGAAATAGGTTTTAATTTCCAGTGCCACAAGAGTTGTGAGCCTAAGGAGGACAAGTTCCAGATGTGATTACATGAATGAAAGAGAACTTGCAACCGAACATGTCTGAGGTACTGGTGAACGAAAGGTGGAATTCGTGGTCCAACGTGGAGGACTGAGGGCATCACTCTTGGAGATGGGGAGGGGGTACCTAGGTTTGCAAAGTGGCAGACAGCGCATTTCCAATCATGGGAATGCCTGAAGCTTTCTTCTCTAATCCTCCCTTCCTATTTCTGTCCTGCTCTTCCTCCTTTTTCCCCTTTCCTTCTTCCTGTCTCTGATCCCACACTATTTCCTGGATTTTAGCAACAGAAAAGCTTGTTTCTTGATTGGCTGTTTTTATTTCGCCCCATAAACTCTACTGGCTACCCACCATCCATTCATCCACCTATCAGAAATCTTTATATCTACCTAGCAATTATCTGTCATCATCTCCCTATGAATCCATCCATTCAATGTGCCTTCTTGCATTTATTTCAGTTCCCTCTACCTTCCACAAGAGTTCTACACAATACCCGACTCCAACCTACATGTTTTCTCCTACCACTACCAAGGCCTTGAGCACACCCTCCACCTCACCCGGAACTGTGGACCCACCTGCGCCCTCGTCAGTTACCATTGCCTCCACTCCTAACCCTGGACTCCACCTTAAAGATGTGACACGTGTCACCAGGTATGGTTCTTAGATCTCTAACCTGAGCAGGGAGTCCTTTGTCCTGCAGCCTTGTGTTAAAAGTGTGTGTGAGTGTGGAGAGGGAGACCTGGGAAAGATAGGGCAGGAGTAGGCTTGAGCTCCCTCAGGCAAGCTGGGTTCCCCAGATGGCAGTGGGGAGGGAGAGGTGAAGAGAAGCTGCCACTCCACTGGTGCAACCAGGAAGAGCAAGGTGAGGGAAGTGGCTCCTTTGCCCAAGTCCAGTGCTCCTCAACCAGCCCAGGGTCTGATGGTGGATGGGGGACTGCACTGGGAGTGACGAGCCTGGGTGCTGATGTCAGCCAGGTGGACTGTGTGACTGTAGGCAAGGCAGGACCCAACTCTGGCATCTTTTTCTGCCCCCACAACAGAGAAGTTAAGGGCAGAGTTGGGCGAGTGCTTGGAACCCAGCAACCCTTAGCAGCTGCTGTAAGCTGGGAATTCTGCCCCTCTCCCTGCCCCCCATTTCTGGGGGTGCTTGTGAGAGCTCTGTGTGTGGACTCAGTGTAGAGCTAACTCAACATGCAGGCTCCGCTTCAGTTTTTATTCAGTGTTGGCTTATCTTAGAATATGTTTGTCATTAAATATTGAATTAACAGAGAAAGAGATAACTCTTCCATATTCCTACTAATCTAGCTTGGCTTTTTTCTCCATATTGTCTCCCAGTCTACTTAATTCTATGGCTGTGTTAACATAGCAGTAATTCTCATTATACACATGTCATTGTTTTCCCTGCTGAAAGTATTCTTTGTTCTTGCTACCCAGACTTCATTGTAATGTCAATGAATGCATATTTCCCCATCAATTGGAAAAGCTGTAGCACACATAACCATTGGCCTATTCTTAGACAATGATGCACTGCTTTTTAAAAATTATTGTTTTATGATACAGTTTAATAGGTGCTGGGATTTCCCTTCCCCATCCCCAAGTTCCCTTCTCCTCCCCTCTATTCTCCCCTCCAGTCTTACAATGGATGTCTTTTTTAAAAAAAATATTTATTTTATTTTTATTGGAAAGGAGGATATACAGAGAGGAGAGACAGGGAGGAAGATCTTCCGTCCAATGATTCACCCCCCAAGTGAGCCGCAATGGCCGGTGCTATGCCAATCTGAAGCCAGGAACCTCTTCCGGGTATCCCATGTGGCTGCAGGGTCCCAAAGCTTTGGGCTGTCCTCGACTGCTTTCCCAGGCCACAAGCAGGGAGCTGGATGGGAAGCGGGGCGGCCGGGATTAGAACTGGCGCCCATATGGGATCCCGGGCGTGCAAGGCAAGGACCTTAACCACTGTGCCACCGTGCTGGGCCCTACAATGGATGTCTTACATAATTTTCCACAAGTATTATGCTTCCATTGAGGTGTCTCCCAACAATGGAGGAGATTATCATTTCATTGTGAGTCCATCCTTGTAGTGCATGCATGAGGACTTCTCTGTTTCCACCTATGAACATATTAATTTCTGCTACATTTCCATAATGCATCCCCTTGAGTACAGTCCACCATGGGGAGAAAAAAATTAGTGAGCCTTCATCCACATGAAGTTAATGAACATATAACAAAGGTGTCAGTGTGACTCTAGGGTGGTGAAAAAGAGTGTCCAACATTAGGAATGGGCTGGGGGTAGACTTCAGCACCAAGGGGCCACTTACCCCTTTAAGTTGCTTATATGTGGTTTCCCTCCCTGCTGATCTGTCCTTCTATGTTCAATTACATGACATTAGCACTGAGCCTGGGCTTCTGGTTGTTCTCCGACTACCCATTTCTCTTGTGTCTTGTAGAGTCCTTATATTCTCATCCCCAAGTACCTGTGGGTTGAATGGGAGGATTCTTGAATTTGTAGCTCCCTTTCTTAATGATATATTTCTAGAGCTGCATGGGACTTTTAGAATCATTTTGCTTCAATCTCTAAGAATGCACGATGGGATCCAATCTGGACTGGAGTTTTCTTGGTTTACAGTTTTTGGGAACTGAGACTACCAAGAGAAGGTGACCACCGCTGGAAATAATTGCTGCAGACAGGGTTCTTGGCCCAGGATCCCATACTGTCTGCTGCATCACAAAGAAGGAAGCCGTGGCCAGGCAGGCTGGCTGTTTCCCCAAGGCCTGTCCTCCCAGGGACTCTGATGTCTGCTAAAGATCTCTGTAATGTGTCATTTTAGGAAACAGCATAGAGTGAAGTGCATGGGAGGCAGACACTAGGGGGAAGTTGCTGGGGAGAGCCGAGGCAATGTGATCAGGGCATGGAGGATTCCATGTATGCTCCTCTGGGGATGCCCCACTGCTGGAGCATCATCCAGTCTCTCTCTCTCTCCCTAGGATCTCTACATTTGGCATTGTCATCCTCGTGGCCTGTGGACTCCTGAGCAAGAGCCTGGTCTTCACTGCCCTCTTGGCAATCACCCAAAGGTCATTTTCACCATAGAGTTGTGAACTCATAGAGTGACCTCTGGGGTGGACATTTAGCTGCTTGAGCTGCCCACATCTCATAGTGGAGCATCTGGGTTCAAGTCCCAGTTGTAGTGTCAATCCAGCTTCCTGCTGGTGTACACCCTGGGAAGCAGCAGGCGGTGAATGGAGGACTTGGATCCCTGTCACCCATGTAGGAGACCTGGATTGGATTTCTGGGTCCTGGCTCTAGCTGCTGTGGCAACTGGGGAGTGAACTGTTGGATGAAGATCATCTTTCTCTGTTTGGTTCCTTTCCCTGTCTTTCAAACAAACAAATAAACAAATAAATAACTTAAAAATAAAGCAACAAGGCAGAGGTGACTCCAGATTGGACCCACCTGGAGTAACCTTGATCCTGCATGCCTGGCAAGGGCAGCGGGTGACTTCAGGGGGCCTGCATGGGGTGCTAGTCACAGCAGCACTCCAGATTGGGCAGCCTGGGCGCCACTGGCACGCAGGCCGAGCCCTTGGCCTGCCTACCGGTGACACAAGTCTAGGGACTTGAGTGTATGTGTTTACATGGGGTATGGTCTATGCCACAAGTGAGGCTGATGGGGACCTCAGGTTCATGTCATGGTGAGGAATAACTACTGAGGGACATACATGGACAAGGTCACTGTACTTTCAGGTAAGTGAGGGTATTGAGACTGAGCAGTTTGGAGGGGTGAACAAGAAACTCTTTAAAGGTTAGTCTGAAGCACGAGCAAACATGGGAAACCTTAGTCGGGGTAGTTAGCAGCAACCATCATCAAATACCACTCACTGGCACACATTAAAGCTAGAGCTGGGAACCTATCTGGCAGGGCTAGATCGTAGTACTCACCAGTGAGAGATGGAATAGGGGCAGATAATGTTAGGCTGAGCCATGACACTAACCAACACATGAGAAAACCAGATCTGGGGGCAGAATACGTGGGGGGATATACGGGCTCACCGCAATCCAACTGTAATCTCTGCTGACACATGCAAGATCTTGTGGCTGGGGTCAGGCTTGTCTGGGGAGCTAAGGAGATACCCCGGCTGAGCTGAGATTCCCACCAGTGAGTATGAGTGCTGTGGGGTTCATTAGTTGTGCTTGGCATTGCACAACTTGTGGGTGTGAATCCCAAATCAGAATCTGCTAGAGATTCAACAGACTTTGGCCCTTGAATTCATGCAAATGTTTAAACCCAAGAGTCACACTTGAATGGTTCTAACAAGGTAAAAACTTATGGCTATTGTGATGTTTAGGAAGTGGGCCAAGTGAGAGGCCCTCTGAGCACTGTGGGTAATTCTAGGGAGAAGTTTGATCTGGACCCCTCTGCTGTCTCAGCTTCCTGGCTCATGCACTATGGTGTCTGCACACACTCTGCCATTGCACCGTCCACCAGCCTCACGTGACAGCTAAGCCAACAAGACGGCCCTTGTTGTGGGCCATGAGTCTCCAAAAACTACAGAGTAAAATAGGCATCTGTCCCGACCTGCAGGACACGACACTCAAACCCTGAGGGTGGACTGGGAATGCCGGGCTGCTGGCCCAAGAAACACACGGACACATGTACTTGGTGGAAAAGAGTGCCTCCTGCTCTTTATTTTACTCCTCATATATATACCTTCTTCTCTAGGGGAGGAGGGGAAGGGGAGGGGTTTCCTGGAAGTAATTATCTTCATTGAAGCAGGGAAGGAACTAATCATCTATATTGAAACAGGGGAGGAACTAATCATCTGAACAGGAACAAGGGTGGAGGTTCTATTCCCTTGCTCTACACAGGATGTTCTGGCCTAATATCCTGCTTGCTGTGGTCCTGCTTGCCCAAGGCAGGCTTTGCAATGCAGCAGGCTGTCAGGTAGGCCAAGTCTAAGGTCCTTAAGTCTGTGGCTCCCAACAGGCATCCTTACTACCTAAGTAGCTTGTCTTGGGGATTGCACTACAGGAATGAAAAGTTAACTGACACAGTATCCTTGCAGTGTGTCTGGTCTTGGGGGACTCAGCTAATCTTCCAGGTCTTAATTGTCTTACCTTTGCGGGCCATAATGCCTCCTCACCATTACCAGTTGAGATCCTTGATGCCAACAACAGAATCCAGCTCTGGTGATGCTAAGCCACAAAGGACTGCAGAAGGATGTCAGGAGGTCACAGAGACACCGAGAAGGTTAAAAGACCAACATAGGAAATGGGCAGGACTCAAAGGAGCGTAGGTAGCAGGAGACACTGCCCTGGATGCTGGACGCTACTCATTACCTGTCAGCAGGCTACTCCAACCATCTCCAGCTGGTCCTACATCTTGGGTCATATCATCAAGATGAGAATGATTGGCAGAATCACGCATTTGGCCAAACTTAGGCGAAATCACATGCCTGTTCCTTCGCTGCTAGGGAGAAGCAGGGAGGGTGTGGATGGAGAAACCTCGGCCTCCACGGCCAGCATAAGGGGAAGTAATTGCAAGCCAGGGAGCACCGCACATGGGCATGTGTCCCCAGCGGAGATGGCATTTAGTGTCAGGGAACTGAGACATGACAAGCAACCCTTGTGCAATCTCCCTACCCTGACAAAATTAAGTGACACAATTCAGAAGCAGCTGACACACAGTAGGATGGCAAGTCATAGCAGCCAGATGCTATTAGTACTGTCTTAGTGACCTCCATGCTGGGGCCTGGACTGGGCAGCCCTGGGAAACCTTTACCTAGAACATAGGTCGATCACCACAGCAGGTGTTATAAAGAGCTCTGGCAAGCATGGTCTACTGGGAACACTTGTCTCAGATCACCTGGGTTACTCACTAAAATGCAAATTCCTGGGCTCCTCCCTAGACCTGCCCAATCAGAACCTTTGGGTGTAGAGCCCCTGTGTGTGTGTGTAGCCAGCTTCCCTAGAGGTTCCACAATAGAGTGTGATTAAAGGCTCTGGGTCATGTGAGAGAGCACTGAGCCAGGCCTTGGGGAAGAGTGGGTGGCTGTAGATGTATAGAGCTGTTTCAGGAAGAGTTTAGGGAGGTTTTGGGAGGGAGGGGCCAGGAACATCTTGGGGACTTGAGGAAGTGTGTGGAGTCAAGGGTCTCAGGCTGGTGGGTGGGACTTGCTGTGGAGAGGGAAGGGGAGCCACTGAGTGTTTCCTAGCAAGACTACAGCTTCATGAAAGGAAGTGATAACAGGAAGGAAGTGGCTGCAAGGACCACTGTTGCTCCTGTCTTCATCTTGTGGGTTTTCCTGGGCTGCCTCTCGTCACATCTCTCTCAAGGTTTCACAACTGCAAAGGCAGGGTCTGGCCTGTCAGCAAAGGCTGCCATTCTCCATCCCAGGAGAGGAGACTCTGGGTCAGCTAGCAGAGAGTGGATCCGGAGAGAGAGATGGGATGGAAGGAGCAAGGCTTGGGGCAGCCATTGTCACTGTTTCTGCTACGCTGCTGCAGCTCTGTGTCCCAGATAAGGAGAGGCAGGGAAGGATGGAAATGGCTGCAGGGAGGGTCTCTCTCACTTCTCCAGGGTGGACTGGAACAGAAGTGTATGTGTTATAGACAGGTAAGAGGCATGGGCATTGGGTGGCACAGGCTCCCTGACCCAGTAGGGGCTCGGTGATGAAACAGAAATGGGTTTTCTCTTAGTATGGCATGTTTTGCAGTTGAGAAAATGGCCTTGAGACAAACTAGTCACTCCCAGCCCTGTGCCATCATCCTGGCAGGTGCAATGAAGTGTAAGGCAGTCTCTCCCTAGAGGATGGTTCAGGAGGACTCCCCTCTGGGACCACATGGGATGTGTCTTGGTGGAGAGGATCAGGAGAAGCAATCCATCTGGGGATCCAAGGAGCTCCTGTAAAAGATTGCTTGCCAGACAGCAGGGAGTGTGTCTGAGCAATGCCCAGTAGAATAGAAAATGGGTAGTAAAACTGGTGATGCTCTTTTAAAGTTTTTGAAACTGCCTAGCACAATAGCCTAGTGGCTAAATCCTCACCTTGCATCCACCAGGATCCCATATGGGTGCCAGATCATGTCCTAGTGACTCCACTTCCCATCCATCTCTCTGCTTGTGGCCTGGGAAAGCAGTGGAGAACGGCCCAAATCCTTGAGACCCTGTATCCACGCGGGAGACCTGGAAGAAGCTTTTGGCTTTTGGCTTCATATTGGCTTAACTCCAGCCATTGTGTCCAATTGGGGAGTGAACCAGCGGATGGAAGAGCCTTCTCTTTGTATCTGCTCTCTGTATATCTGCCTTTCCAATAAAAAAACTTTTTAAAAAAAGTTTTTGTAAAGTGTATTTCTTTGGAATGGGTGGGGGGAGAGAGAGAGAGAGAGAGAGAACACCCAAATGGCTCCAGTTACCAGAATTGGGTCAGGCTGAAGCCAGGGAGCCAGGAACTGGATATGGGTCCCTGTGTGAATGGCAGGGGCTCAAGCAGTTGGGCCCTCCATCCTCTGCTGCTTTTCCAGGTGCATTAGCAAGCAACTGGATCAGAAGTGGAGCAACCTCATATGAGGTGCAGACGTTGCAGTGGCTGCAACCCACTGCACCACAACACTGGCCTTGGTGACACACTTTTGTATCTATCTGCAATGAGAATTTTCCAAATTACAAAATACAGGAAGAGCAATCACCATATACTCATTGTCTAGATTAAAACACTCAACTGTGATGGACATTTGCTTTTCTTTTCTTCCCCCATGCATGTGTGTATATTGTTAATATGAAGACATACACACACACAATTGCTGAACTATCTTAAGATAATCAGAATCCCTAGTCACTGCTGATGGCTTGCCGAGGCTCTCGCATGTATTCCTCTGTGGTCTCATGCCTATGGTGCAGTTAGCTAGGGATGAGGGTAGCAGAAGCAAGCACATTGGTACAGCTAGTGATTTCACTCCTCATGTCAGGGTTCCAGGCTGTAGGTGAGGAGGAGGTGGAGGAGGAGCTGAAGTGTCTAGTGGAAGGAGACAATCTGACTCTGAGCTCCCCTTATAACATCATGAAACATGCCACCAGCCTGAAGGTTTGGCAGTGGCTGGGCAGATGCGACTCCCCAGAGACTCTGGTGCACACAAAGACTAGAAACAAATTCCAAAACCAGGCCCAGTCCACAGGAGGTACGTGCTAGAGGATTGTCCCAACGAAGTCACCTTCAGGGTCACAATGATGGAGTTGTGGAGGCAGGATGTAGAACTGTACCAGTGCGTGGTCTACCTCTCCTCCCAGCAAGTGGTTGTCTTATATCATCAGAGCTAGCTGGGACTGTGCAAAGGTGGCAATGGGTGAGACTCCGGGGCAGGGCACAGAGTCCTCATAAGCTGGGACCCCTGGAAAGGTGATGCTGAGATGTGAAGAAAGTTCTAG